GAACACACACATATATATATATATATATATATATATATTACTATAGTAGGAGCGTGTCTTTTTTTTAACATTACAATTCTCTTTTTTTTCTTTTATCGCAAATGAGCATCAGCCCGCGTGCCGCGCGCCATTGAGGATCGGTGAAAACTTTAGGCTTTCTCCAGTCAGCTTCTCGCTTTTCGAAGACCTCCGGTTGCTAAAGTCGCAGCTTGAAATCTTCGACGGTAGCGCTGATCTTAGAATGTAACGAATTGGCAGTGATTGACGTCTCTCGTGCGAGACTTCCCGGGCGACTTCTTTGCTCGGCAATTTCCTCGGAGGTCTCCTCTCTATATTACATTGGCTGCGATTTCTCTTCCGGATCACTGCTGACCATGGATGTTTCCGTCTCCTCAAATTCGCGCGAGTTAGCGGGGTCGATGATTTGTTTCGTGCGATCCCTTTGGCTCTTAAAGACAAGTGTCGTCGATTATTTTTTCTCTCCTGATCTTACGCATCAGGACACTTCGAGGAAATACACGTTATACACATGATTCTTTGGACTCCGATAGTGTTATTTTATAATACATTATCTGCTCGTCAAGCCTTCTTCCGAATTATTCTCGTGGATTGTTTTAAACATAAACTCGATCTTCGATTGTCTCCAAACGGCGCTGATCATCGATCTCCTCAAGTGTTCCTCGAAAACGGATTCTTTTGTCAATGATGAAGTCTGGCAAATCTCGAATACCTAATACAGCTACTTTTGTAGATCTCTCTCTTGATGTTTTGTCCATTAAGCTTAGGCGTTTGATAATCGATCGCCTTCTACTTGCAGCATATTAGGTGACTTCGAAAAATGCTAGATCGCGTGCAAATATCGAAGATCTCCGCGATCTTTACGAGGAAGAGGTCTCGACGGTCCCAACCGCGGAGTGTGACGCGCGGCTGAGACCGCTCGTAGAGACGATTGATTACACGTGTCTCTTCATGTGGAGAGCTAGATGGTCGCTGCGGGAGAAGCATCGGTCGCAATGCCGACATTTGAACGGCTTCGCACCGGTGTGCTTGCGGTAATGGCGCGTCAATTCATCCGAACGCGCGAATCGCCATTCGCAGCCCTCCCAACTGCACTTGTACGGTTTCTCCCCTGAAACAGAAGAGAGTAAAACCACATTAAAGAATCTAGTAGAGTGCTTAATTCTCCAAATAATTATTCTCGCAGAATAATTTCGACTAAGTCACTAAAATTCTAATTGATATTTACATGTTTTAACGTTAAATAATAAGCTAGCAATACATAAACGCAATTTTCAATAAGATCTATAAATAATATAAAATTTAATAATAATTATACGTTTAATAGTACGTTTAAGACCACAGATTTGTCAAAATAAAAAAACTATTCTTTTCGATTTTAGGAAATTGAAATTAGAAGTTAAAATTAGAGATAATTATGTTTCACTAAAGTATGTCAAAGTATTAAACATGAGTTAATTATGTTCAACACTCTAAACTTATTTTCCCTAACTTAATAACACTTCTAAACAAATTATACCTCTAAACTTTAGTTGAAGTAATATACACACTAGCAATTTGCGTACTAATTGCACTGCACTTTTAGTCTACTTCGTTTTTAATTTTAATTGTTGAAAATATTGCTAGACTTTGCTATAAATTACGTATGCTTAGATTTCAGTAAACTGCCATTGTCAATCGATAGTTTGCGCAGAACATAACGCTGGATAATGTCCGTTTGTATAGAGATAAGCGGAACCACATAGTATCAGTCTCCTACTTGAGAAAGCTCGTTCGTTCAATGTTATGATCCAGGCACCGTAGGGGCTTCCTTGATTGTAGGATAGTAAACGTATCGCGATAGGCATAAGCTTACTGCAAAGCGATTCAATAGATTTCCGCGCGATGATACGAGGATTGGACGTTATTATCCCTCTAAACAGACTATCAAAGACAATGAGTAGTATCTAATCGTCGTTAACTGCGACGAAACGTCGACGACGGGATTCGTGTTCAACTATTGGCACAATAGCAACCGCACGTTGGGCTGCGACACGATACAAATCCCTATGTCGCAAATCCGAGGTAATCCTGTGGGATTCGCGCGGCGATTGAATCTGATTTAAAAACCTATACAACCCTGAAAAATCCGCACGTTGCCGCCCGTCCAGTGCCGTTGATTTGCGACACATGAGAGAAGTATTAGAGACCAGCCGGGAAAAACACATGTGCGACTGTACGCTGAGATGGAACCGCTCGTCAGGCGGAAGGAGAGGGACCATTGTGTTATTAAGCCCGTAAATAATCTATTCGGTAATATAGAAGCGGCTGACGTTGATGGGGCCACGGCGGAGAAGAGACAATACGAGGTCACCACCTGTGGCGCGATGTTAGCGAGATTAACAAGCCGAGGGAGTTTCGCAGCTCGGAAAGAGAAGCGGGTTGAGGGACGGGAGAGTTGAATCAGAGGTTGCAGAAACGATTGTGAACCCCATACTAGCTGGTAAATCGTGATCCGATAGGGAAAGGGTAGCTGTTGGCGTCGCGCCGCATTCATCGACGTATCGCGACTCATCGATCTCACAACAACAAACGATTTCTATTCTTTTATGTATGTCCTAATACAGATTTGTGCACTGTTCTCTGCCATTTGATTCTTCATTGCCCATTGGATTGTAATATTTTTATTTCACGATCGGTTATTGTCAAATACTTTTCGCAGATCAGTTGAAAAGTAGTATATAAAAATTAATACTGCCATTTATGATGAGTCTCGAAATATGAAGACAAAATTCGAGAGAATATTTATGTAAAATATCTGTACTTAACTAATAAGCGAAATAATAAATTATCTCTGTTGAATAAATCTCTTAAGGAATAATGAAAAATTATGGCTCGCGTAAAAACGTTACAAGCGAGGGCTTTGTCTTCCTGATTTAAACTTTCGGAGTGTCCGTGCAGACGTGTCTCTTGTCGCGATCTAGATATGTCCGTTGTAAAGTACTTTGAGCTCGCACTGAAATACGATCTTCTATTATTTTTGTCAAGGCACGAAATTTGTCGGGCATATCCGACTGCATCTAGGAACTGATGCGCGAGTATATTTCACAACACCGCCGTCGAGATAAAAGTAATACAAATGTGTGTATAAAACCCCGAAGAGAAACGTTTAACACGTCGCATGCCCTCCCGCGGTTCTCATAAATCCGAAAAAGAGGCGGAATCCTCGACTCCACAAAGTGCTGTTTTTAGATTGCCGTGTCTGTTTGCGAGTTTGCGCAAAAGGTACGGTTGTAATTTAAATGTAGGGTTTTCTCATCCATGTAACGCGTTGCGTCTGAAAAAGTAGATGTAACAGATTGCATCGTGATTTTAGTCAGTGTTGACGAAGATATTTTCCGCGCGTCGCGCCCGAATCAGTTTTCGAGAGAAACGAAAAATATACTAAATTATGTAATTTGAAATATCATGATAATATCCCACTGATATATGTTCGTACAAAAAAAAATTAATATTATTTCTTAATTATTAACCGCTCGGAGTTGATGGTGGGTCCGATTAGATCAATTCAATTACAAATTTTTATAAAAAATGCCAAATAATTCAATTTTTTTATATTATATCTGCACATTTGAATTATTCTTATTAATAAACATCGGATTTTTGTGCAATTATATATTATACATTTCTTTTTTAACCAAATTAAAGAGTGGAACGAAAATAGAAATTTGTCTTATCGAAAGAGCATTCATAAAAATGCATATTTATTTGTATATATTGTGCATATTTGCGTATTTGAGCATATTTTGCATGCGCAAATATCTGCATAAAATGTCCGATGTTTATTTATTAAAATATATTTAGTATTCATTCTTTTTTCATACAAGTTACGTCATTTTGGTTTCTTAACATTATAATTACTGCCTCTCTCTTTATTACTTATTTGGATCTTCAGATTCAGTGTCAATAATTATGTCACATATTTTGGCTCCAGAGGATTAACTATGTGATCGCTATTAAATTCTAAAGAAAGATAAGATAGGAAAAAGCATCTTTAGATTTTTCTTTGCAAAGTTCCTATGAATCGCAATACAACAGATTTATTGTAGATTTATATTTTAGATATATATACAAATATCGTAAATTTTTCATTACAGTTTGCGAGATTGGCGCAAAGTATTTAAAAAAAATATATATATATACATATAATACAAAGAATAATTTTTGAAGATTACGCAGTCACAATGACTGATGCAACTGACGTTTTCCCGAACGACGTTCTACGTCCCGCGAGAAGAGGAGGGATGAAGGGAAAAAATTTACATCGCGTTTCGGTCTCATTCAAAGTTGTACCGAGGGGGTACCAGCGGGAGCTCCTCTTCTACACCGAGTCTCTCATCCCTAGCAGGAGGTGACGACGACAAATCCAGCCGGGACGTGGCGACGCATAACCAAATCCGTCCACCCCTTCGCCCCCCGTTACTTCACCACCTGCACCCATCCTTGGCTGGCTGTTTCCGGCGCCTCCGCCAACGACACCCGACATTCTACGAGGCCGCGACTTTGCGGAAAATACGGCACACGTACTTGACGTACCTCACACCGTTCATCTATCTCACCCTTTCGCCCTTCGCGTTTCGAGAAAAGCAACCCCCGAATACCATCCGTTCCCCTTGCCGTCTGCTATCCTCCGCAGCCAGCTAGAGAAATGGTGACACGAATGTGCCTGGGCCCCACCCCCCTGCAAGGGCGGGAATTGCGGACTCGCGTCGGAAAGAAATTCCGAGGAAGATAAGGATAAATAAGGTAACCGCGACGGAGTGGAAGTCGCTGGCGGCGCATGTATTACAAGTAGCCTATAGCAGGCGAGGAGAAAAATTGTCGTTGACTTCACCGTTGGATCGCCGCGAGACGATGAGAGAATATCCTCTCTCGGCTGTAAAATTTCACAAGATGTCAACGCAAGAAAAAAACAATGCATGATCAAAAAATTCTTAATCCGTTGAATTCACGCCACAGTCTACGTATTTTAGCTTTATTATACACATTTTCGGATAAATAAGTCATCTTGTCGTATTCTCCAATGAGAACTGTATCGCAGCTCCCGTACAATAGAAAACGAGGAGACGATTGTTCCGTTCGGAGAAGCCATCGGAAATCGAGAGAGAACAAATGCGAATGCGAACTACATACGCTGGCGCTCGCGGAGGTAACACAATTTTTGCAAAAATCCTGTGCTCGTCTACGTGCGCACGTAATGTTCGATTTCACGAGCGAATTAAATTTTGCGTAGCCATGGCGACCATGGCGTAACGCTTTACACAACCGCAGGCGTTTATCGTGAACGCGTGCCCCGTCTGGTTCGTTCGATGCGCATGGGCATATCACGGCGTTGGAACACATGCGAAACGACATGTAGGTACGTGCAACGGGCATTGCGCATTTTATCGCTGCATAATGGCCTCCCGGCGGTTCGTTACCACCTACGTAATAAAGCCATATTAAACAAGATGGCTTAACGCGTTAAACTCTCTCGTACCCTTCGCGTGTATCGACAACGAATCTTGCTAAACGACATGCACGCATAGAAAACACGCTCGCATCCTTGCTCGAGTCTTTCTAGATATTTTTAAGAGTGCATCGGGATGCATTTACTGCCTCACTTGCATCCTTCGTCATGTCGATAGCAAGAGATAAATTTACGGAAAATATTTCTTACAATAGATTAAATCACGCATTGAATTTATTAATTTATTATGTTTTGTGTTAGATGTATTAGTTCGTGTTTTTGTGCTTTGTTTAATCTTTTAAATATCTTTATGTTTGATGTTAAATCTTAGTTTAACTTTGGATATCTTCTAAACTCAATTATGGAATTTTTAGAACCTTTTCAGATCTAATCATCATCAGACTTCATCTTTTAAATTCGAACACTCCTTTCCGGTTCAGTTAGAACAAAAAACATGTTGAATATTTTTCACAAATGAATAATAAAATAATAAATGACTTTCAAACAATTATTACTTACATCTTCAAAAGATGAAAAGTTAATTTAAATTAATTAATTTTTAAACTAAAATAAATATTTAATTAAAATAAATGAATATAATATTAAAATCAAAATTAATTTTA